CAACAACTGTTCGTCCGATCTACTTCATACTTGGCCGATGGGTTGCTTGGTACCCAAGAAGGTGCAGTGTATGATATGATTCTTAAATTGTGACGTAAAGCTGTTTTTTGTCACGCTTTCACAGCAGCAACAGATCCGTAGAGGGACTTTGTCATCAGGGCAGCTCATTGTGATTAACTGGCAACGGCTGGTTTAGTTAGCATTAGCTTGTGTTTGTTAGCAACGATGTTCACAGCTGTCCTTGTTTTTCATCGTGTGTTAGCCTAAAGGTTAGCCTGTGTTTATAATACCAGTCTAGATATTGTCGTATAACTGGATTGCAGTCCCAAACCAATGCTGTTGAAATATTGTGTTTAATATATACAAAGATTTATGCGTAACATGTAGAGAAGTATATAAAGCAATATGTGAAAATTAGACAATTGTAAGTTGATGTTAGTGGATGTTGGTAGTTATTTTTCCGTGACGCCTCATGGATACATCAGTATGAACTTGACAGAGCATTACCATTTTGCCGCTTACACACCCGCCCATAGCAGCAAGCTACCATGTGACATAAAGGTCTGACTCCTAATATAATCAGAACAAGCACAAGACTCATCAAGATGCCTGTAAAAACACTCGCTGAGAACTAAAACATGTCATCACCAACCACAAAGCATTACAAAAAAACCCTCCCATGTGATCCTGGCTCGTGTTGAATCACATCCCCTCGTGTTATTACATCATAAATCATAACTATTATCACATTAAAATGCATCCCACCAATGTTGCCGATGCGATCACGTGTGGAACAGTCCGTGTGGTAATTGCGTGGGAATAATTTGGGATTTTCCACACGTGCCGTTGATGTGGTTCTTCTGTAAACACATTGAAAGAAGCAACCAACAACCACTAATCACAATGGCTGGAGACGCCGCCAGCTGCTTCCTGCGTCAGGTGTCGTCGAGGCTGTTTGTACGTCATCACATCCACGCTAACCTCAGGGAGCCCCTTTTTAACTGTCCACAAACCTCTCACATGTGGCAGCGCTTTTATTAAACCATAATATTGTTTTTTTCCATTCAGGAACCTTCAGCTGCTTCTCTTCAACATCTTATTCCCAACAATCGCGACGCACAAAAGAAAAAAAAAAAAACAACAACGTTCTGTTAGGAAACCAGTATTTCAAGTTTTGCCGGGTGCAAATAGTTCAGCAGGTGTGACCAGCTGTGAGTGTACAGGACGTGGTGTTCGTTTAGACGTTAATAACTACATTTTTTTGTCTGTCTTGGTGAGTTTGTAGTCAAACAGCTGACTCGCAATTTGTTTCAAATGAGTCAGTGGTGGATTCTGGGAAAGGGTTGGGTAAGGATGACCAGGACTGATGGGAAATACATCAACACACACACACACACACATACACACACGCCCAGCACACATACACACAAGTTCCAGATTGTTATGTATTTTATTGCTCTGGCAACACAGTAGTGACAATCGTGCCAATGATGAATGTTTGAATTTAAGTGAGTAGAGAGAGAGAAGAGAGAGACACACACAGAGAGATTAAACAAAGGCAGAAAGACAAACAGAATTTTGTTCAAAAATAGCCCCAGGTGCTGAATTTTTGAAGACCTCAATTTTTTATTTTTTTTTTGAATAATCTCAGTTTTCAAAATAAAACCACACAAACTGGGCAACAGAGGACAGAAAGAAGGAGATGCAGTCTTTTACAGCTGTCTAGTTTTTCCACATTTGCACTTCTATACTTGCAAGGACCCTCCTTGACACCCCTAACCCAAACTATCACAACTACATGCCCGACCTTCAACCCCAACATCCTGACCATCTCAGTGGACAAGGTTTCACACTGAAAACCTAAAGACAGAAACACAACAGCACACACTCACACTGCTGCATGCTGTGCAGCTAAACAAGAACAAAGACCTCCTACATTGACAAATTTGTCCATTACCTAATGGAAAAATTGAAATGTACGTTTAAAAACGTAATTTTCTGCTGTTGTGCAAACCCAAGCTGAAGTGCTATTAGTGGTATAAAACTATCATTATTACATGTTAATGCCGAAACCATGCAAAGCCCCTAAGCTCCCAGTAAAGGAATCAGCACCCAGTGCCATATTTCTGGGTCAGCTGCAAGATCATTTATTCATTCGAAGCCCTGGAATGGTTCCCAGTTGTTCTCAAGATGATCAACAAAAGCTCTAAGTTGTGTGTACTTATCAGCATGCTACTTTTTCTGGTAACTTTTTGGAAAGTTCTGACCTGAAATGTGTGATAATGACTCCTCCTGAAACTCCTTTAAAGTCTCCAACGTCCAGTTATGATCCAGAACACGGTGCGCTCACCAGTTTAATCTAACCACAAAGACTTTAAGGAAAATCATCTTTACCACAGAATAAGGAAGTAGGTCAATTACATCACCTCCGGTTGACCAACCACTAGGCTGCCGTGATGACTGCTTTGCTCTCCACCAGCTGGTCATCCTGAAATGTGGAGGCTTTACTGGAAACGTAACGTACTTCTGTTTATATGCGTGCGAGCATCATTGCGATACTGTGTTGTTGTGTGCTGATACAGTTTAATTGAGAACAACGAGGCCGCTGCACAGCACTGACCCTCGCTCATTATTCATTCCTTGCAACTGCACACTCAGCAAAACGTTGAAGGTTACAGCTGACTCAATAAGGTGCTATAGTAGGAAATAGTCGAATTAAAGCATCCCACACTTGTCTGCGGTCTGCTTGGGGATTCAGTCTCTTGTGCTATTTAGTCTCAAAAGACGCTTCACTGTCACCGTGTGCAAAATATTAAAGGTTTGTGCAGCGATCGTCTGAACGCAGCAGCATTGAAAACTACACTGTAAAAAACAATTATTGCAAAAGAACTGTGAGAATGTCAGCAAGGGAGCCAGAAAAATATGTTTAAAAAAAACTGTGAAATTCAAAAAATTACAAGGACTGTGAATATAACTGCAAATGTCTGTTTTACTAGTTAATTACAGTCAAACTTTTTAATATTAGATTTTTGATGTGAACATTATTTACATTTGTTTTTACAGTCAACATGTAAATGAATACTTTATTTTTTACTATTTTCCTCCTATATTTTAATGTATAATAAACATAATGAACATAACTGACTTCAAAATAATAGTAAATATATGTAAAGCAATATTTTTGCTAATTTAAATACAGTAAAAAAAACAAAAAACAAACATAAAATAGTGTCATTTTGGAGCCCAAATTTGTTAAAAGAACAAATTAATATTTATTAAAATACAGATTTTTGATAGGATGTTATTTTCCATTTTATTAATTATTATTTATGTCATTTATTCACATTATTTATTTTATGTTGTCTGTCTTTCTTTCTTTTCTTTTTTTTAATAATGGACAGTTTATTGTTTAAAGTTAAAACTTTCTTTTTTTTTTACAGTGTAGGTAGCTACTAACTACAGCAGACAGGAACTGCAATAAGGATAAACAATCATAAAGTGGAAAAAAAACAACAAAAAAACACACATTTCAAAATTGAACCAGAAAATGTAAATAAATACTTTGTATCATTGTAGGTGTTGAGCTGTTTGTAATCATGGTGACTGTAATCACGGTGACTCACATCATATTCATCGAACTATTCAGCAACTTCTCATGTACTGCATGGAAGCATATGTTTCTCTACTCAGTACATTTAATACACGACAGGATTCCTGGACATGATCTAATTATGCTCCTTTTGAACTCTACTGTGACACACGTCTTCTGCGTCCCTGAAATTATAATGTTCCGCCCCTCAAACTGCCATTTAACCTGCTGATATTTACATCCTTTAGCAAGCCCTCGAGGAAACAGGCTGCATTTGTTGTTTCCCTCCTCTTAGACTACAGCTGAGAGGGCAGCAGTTTTATACAGTTGTTGCCATCGCTGTCAAGTTTGCTCAGGCCTTAATTGACAGCAGACACTCGCTTGCTGTAAATCCACAACAATCCACTGTTTTTTATGAGTTAATATTTTCAATACTTGCAGCCAGTTTAAAGTTACTATCCCAGCTGTCTGCCACCTGTTTGCTTTGCGTGCGTTCGCTCACTCTGTCCGCATGCAAACATGTATTTCCATTTAGGTTGTTGCCGTGCGTGGGGCTGCGAAAACAAACTGGCTTTATGCTGATGATGATATCAGCGCAGCCGAATGCCGCTCGTACCGCCTCTGGAGGTTGTCAGGGGCAACTGCATCCTCGCTGGCTGTCAATAAACCCGGCGTGGGTGCAGTTACCCCTGAATTATTTTGCTGTTTAGCTCTATCCAAATACTGTGGTGACCTGTAATTTGAGCCAGTTCAAACTGTTTGACATCCACGTTTATTCTGCGCTCCGGACCACAAATTTGCAACAAAACGGCACCAAACAAACTCTCGCCCCGCGTTTGGTTGGTGAATCACTGAACTACTCCGCCTGTTGTTTCATTTGATCTTTTGTTCTGTATATTTAGTTTATTGTGAGCAAGTACTGTGTTGATAAAAGCCACATTTCCCACCGGGGAGAGTAAAAATCCTCGAAGCCATCGACTCGCCCGACACCCCTCTGCACGAGCAACTGGAGCAAGACAGCTGCAACAATATCAGAGGAAAAGAGGTTGAGGGAGTACGGATGGGAATGAGGAAGAGATGGAGCGAGAGGGACCGAGAAGGAGAGAAAGAAGAGGTCAGCGGGGTTCTATTTTTATCTTTCCAGAGTCGCGTCTCGGCTTGAATGGAGGCAACGAAGAATTGTGTTGAAAGGCGCGTGCACACAAATTATTTCATAACCTTGGCAGACAGCAGGCTGCTGAAAGATTTCTGTATGCGGAGTGTTTGTGTGTCCTTGGGTGTGTGTGTGTGTGTGTGTGTGTGTGTTATCACAGAGTACTAAGCCATCCTCACAACCTCGCTAGAACTTGACTCTGGAAACACGTCTCCTTGTTGCAGCATTTTGTGCTGTTCTGATTGTTTTTTTTCTGTGTTTTTTTTTTCATGATGTCTTGTCATGTTTTGGCTTGTAACGCTTAAACTACTTTTGTGCTCCCTTTGTAGTGTTTATAATACAGTGTGTGTGTGTGTGTGTGTGTGTGTGTGTGTCTGTGTGTGTTTGTGTGTGTGTGAGCACGTTGGGGCAGGTATTCTTTTACAGCGATCTAACATACTTTTTTTTGTCCACCGACCACAATGTCTGTGTCAAACCAAAATCATCTCAGTCTGATGGTAATTTAGCTCCCTGGAATGTGTGTGTGTGTGTGTGTGTGTGTGTGTGTTTTACAGCTGACTTCTAGTTCTGGTTGTGGTCACATTGAAATTCTGTCCTCCCCTGCAGTTCCAACTGTTCAGATTCAAAGAATTCTCCTTATTTTTTACGACATCACGGATGCTGCAGTCAGCCTCAATAAATTGCACAGAAACCAGTCGGGCTAGTTCAGAAACCAGGTGGTCATAAAATATATCAGAAACACCAGAGAAACCAGCGTAACCATTTCCACTGTGCAGCGTTATGGAAATGGAGATAGCAACGTCTACAAAAAAAAAAACGGTGGAGAACCAAGTTGAACCAGTTCAAATAAAGTGCTAATACTCCACAGAAGAGAAAGTAATACCGGAAATACCACAGAAACCAGTGAAACCAGGTCCACAACTGCACAGAAACTGGGATAGCTAGTTTTACAATAAAAACATCAAGTTAAGAAACCTGTCAAATCAGTTCACAAATCACATGGAGAGATCAGTGGACTGGTTTAGCACCACGCTGCACCGCCGGGTAAAAGAAACATCACAGACGCCAAACTGGAAGTTCAGCAGCAGCAGCAGCAGCAGCATCAGGTCCCTATTAGATACAGCACAGACTCAACCCAGAGACAAGTCCAGCAGCCGGGCTGGTTTGTGTTGCAGTTACACACAGTTTGGAAACTAAAGCCTGAGATCACAAAGTCACAAGGCCAATACTAGAGCCTCACCATAAGCAACTGTCAACTGTGCAGCGCATCAGAAGGAACTAGAAGAGCTGTGTGAGCTCTGTACTAGGACACAGCAGATGTCACTATGAGGTTAAAGAGCTGATTTTAAGCTTTAACTTTACAGCATTCATAGATCTTAAATAAAGTGGTTAAATGTGACGAGGAAGTACAAATTCAAGGTAGTTTTAATGCCACCTTCTCCACGGCAACATTGTTCTTTTTTTTTACTTCACTACATCGGTTTGACGGCTTTAATGACTTTAAAGATTCAGATTTTTGTCATCAAGAACTTTAAAAATACAATATTTTCTCTGTACTTCCCAGGACAGGACTCCAGCTTAATTCAGCCGTGGATGAAGTTCAAAGCTCCATGCGAGATGCAATAACACAGTTCAAAGCTCAAGTGAGTCCGGTTTTCACTTTTTTTTTCTTTTTGAGCATTCGATCACATCTTTGCGGATGGAGTTTTAATCTGCTGGGGAAGACCATGAGATGCAGCCAAAAAGCCTTTGAAGACACTTTCCTTCTGGAATGATGGTTTTTAAAGTTGTCTCAGCTTGTCCGATTACTTTCCCTCCTCTAATTCTGAGAGATTAGAGGGCCACAAGTTCTACATATTCATCTGATGTGCTTGTAAACACATTCGATTCGTTACTAAAAGTCAGAACATTAACACCGACAGCGAACTCAAAATGCCAAAAACTACAAAAATGTGTCACTGTGGGGGAAAAAAACTGTTTACTGACTGTAGAATCATGGTTTTCTTAAATGGTTTCATCAAGGAAAAAATTCCTTTTAACTGCATTAGTGTCATTTTGAAATGCAACACGTTGGAAAATAGTCCAGAGCTGTTTGGAGACGGTCCAAAGGTTAAGAATACATCCCTGAATTACGCTGCAAATGTTAACTTTAGATGTGTTCAGATTATGTGTATGGAAAAAGAGCCCCAAAGTCACATTTTTGGCCCACACACACCACTCTGATTCACGCTGCTGTTTGTTAACACACTTCATCGCAGCCACAAAACTCATGTTACACAACCGCTGTGCCGTCCACCGTCCTGTAAAAACCTCTGAGGAGCCTGAAAAAGTGCACATGTGGTGAGACGGGGCTTACCTGTTGGTCTGCAGGTGGTCAGTTTGGTTTTAACGGGAGTCCCGACAGAAAGCGTCCTCATGGGGCCATCTGTAAGAAAAGAGGAGGATCGTGAGTGTGGAAGCCAGCCAACTTTGGTTCAAGGCGGCGGCGAGAGTGACGGTAAATCTGGCACATGCTAACCAGTTAAACATCAACCATGTTTCTCCAGAATCAGAATCCACACTCAGCCATTAAAAGACTACATTTGTGTGCTTGTGAGACTGAAATTGAGGTTTACTAATGTGTTTTTCGGTCAGACCGATTAACATTTGCATTTCACTTTCACATGTACGAGCTGTGCGCTATCGCAATAATGGATAGACACACGCAAGCAATGGCACGTTGAGCTGTGTGATGCAATTTGGGAAAGTCCTTTTTTTAAAAAAATAAAAATTTCAACACCCGTTTAGGTTTAAGAACATTCTTAATCATCATTATCTCACTTTGCTAGACGATTTCACATCTATTACAACCAGAAATGTGCTTAACAACTAAACTTTACTGTGATGAAAAAAGGCCAAATTCACGAGGCTCACCAATAATACATGTAATCCAGGTTTTGACAAAAGACTACCAGGAGCTTAAGATGAGTTTGTTGCCTGTTTGTAGGAGTCTTTCCTCTGAGTTTATTAAATATCTACAGCATCAAACAGCCAGGCGAGCGTCTCCAGCGTGACAGAACTGTGCACATGTATCAGCAGTGAGTTCATTAATTACTTATAATTACAAATTATCCTTAACATGGAGACAGGATCCATCAGAATCTAATACCACACAGCCACACTGTGAACTTTCTTTCACCTCAGACGGGTGAGCTTCCCCTCAGATTCATTAATCATATGTTACGTAGCGGCCATCTTTAGTCCGGAGCTTCTACACAGCTGTATGGAGCATATTTTTATTTTGCTGTTGGTGAAGTAGTCGCTAGATTATCATCACACATGGAGAGAAGTGTTCAGGGGATCATAAAAGAAACTAAGCAGTTATTTGGACACTGATAAACTACTGTTAGATTCAGACTTTTGTTTATTAGTGTATCATCACTTGATGTTCTGTCCAATCTTGTGTAAATGACAAACATTACGTCATTTTGGTGGGTATGTCTGAATGAAGCTGTGAGGAACATTAACGTAGAAGTGACCCACATTTGAATGACAGAATCATGTCGCTTTGACAGACTGATAAAGCAGCGACAAGGGCTTTATACTGTGTGTGTGTGTGTGTGTGTGTGTGTGTCCCTTCACTGTCGCAATAGGAAACAAACAGGATGTGGTAGAGGAAGTGGTCAACAGAGGTGTGAAGCAAAATCCGTCATCCCCGCTCTCTTTGTACGATCACACGCACTAAGCATTTTCTTGAAGGAAGACGAAATGAAAAAAAAATCGAGTGAAGCAATGAAGTCGAGGACGGAACCGGGCAGGGGTTAAGAGAAAGAGTTTCTTCAAAGAGAGGAACAAAGAGCGAAGGTGGGAAGAGTGGAAGAGAGACGGCAGAGGGGGGAGGAAGGGAGACGAGAGATGGAGGGGCAAGAGAGAGGAGGCGAAGGTGAGAAAAGAGAGAGGAAGAATGGTAGACAGAGAAAGAGAGGGGAGGCAAAGGTGAGAAAAGACAGAGACAGAGAGAGGATGCAAAGGGGGAGAAGGAAACCGATAAAGATAGAGAGTAGGCGTGAGAGAGAATGACACAAGAAAGAAAGATGGAAAGGGAGCAAGAGGAGGGAAAGAAAGACGAGTGGAGAGCATGAGAGTGGGAGGCAAAAAGGGGGGAGAACCAAAGACAAGAAGGAGGAAATGAAGAAGACCAGGGGGAACATGTGAGAGGAGTAGGACAGAAAAGAAAGAAAGAAAGGGATGATAAAGTGAGTAAAGGGAGGAAGGAAGAGAGACAAACAGACAGAGAGGAGGAAGAGGAGATCAAGGAAAATGGGTGAGGAGGGGGAGGAAAGAGAGAGATGGTTAGAAAGTAGAATGGAAGGTAACAAAATGCATGAATGATGGAGGAACCAGAGAGAGACTGAAATAAGGGGGAGAGAAAAGAGAGAAGCAGAGGTGAGAGCTACAGAGAGAGAGAGAGAAACCTCACAGTCAGGAAAGTTCCTTCAGTTCGTGTGATTTGCCGTCTCTCTGCCACATGGTTTAAAATGTGGCGGCGAACGGAAACACACACCGCACACAGACACACACACACACACACACACAAATATCCAAACACATACCAGCAGCGTAATGAATGGAAAACATCAAAACACACTCTGACAGAAAAGTGGACAGTCACATGTGCCACACACACTTTACAGCGGGACGGCTGTTTTGAGATCAGATTTTTTTTTTCCGAGTCGTCCTCTCGCTCCGCTCTGCCAGGAGTAAAGGCAGGGAAAAACTATGACACTGTTTTTCTGTTTCATGTCTGTCAAAACACACACACAAACACACACACAGATGGCGAGACTGACTTTGTGCGTTTCCATCCGTGTGTACCGAGCTTTTCCAGAGAGGACAATAAAGCCATCCATCTGTGCCGCGCCGGGTCTCTTTTATTGGACTATTCCTAACAACATGATCACACTTAATCTACTACGCAGCTCCTTTGCATGTTTTAGCCATAATCCCGTTAGGCTGAGTCCAGTCAGTGATTCCATGACTCAGAGGGGCTAACATGAAACCGATCAGGTCTGGGTATTGATTATAAAACCACTGCTACTGCTACACCTGAGGCTGAAATTTATTAATTTTCCAGACTGACGTAATGGTTTAGAAGTTAATATCTAAACCAGCGGCACCTCCGCTAGAACTGATCATCTCGTCCTCTGCTTTGTTCTCTGGTGACCTTTGACACAAAGAATTAGGGCAACAAATATCATTATTATCCACTAATTTGCAAATGAATGGCTCGATTAATCAATGAGGTCATGTGACACCTTCATCTGATGTTTAAGTCTTTAACAGCCCTTCAGCAAATAATGCCTGACATGTAGTTCTGTTTAGAAAATGAACCGAATCAAAGCCTGAAATGGGCGGCTGTGGCAAGGTTCAATCCCCCTCCACAGCCGAAGTGTCCTTGGGCAAGACACTAAACCCAAAGTTGCTCCAAATGGCAGGCAGGCACCTTGCATGGCAGCTCTGTCGCCATATGGGTGAATAAGAAACATATTGTAAAGCGCTCTAAGTACCAGTAAGGTAGAAAGGCGCTATACAACTGCACACCATTTACACTCATGATATTTTACCAGAATCACTTGATTCTACATGTTTGCTTTAACACGATTCTGTAAAAAGTGAAAATAAAATAAAAACTCCGTGACCTTCAACAAAAATGTGACATCATCAGTGACTCAGCTGCCACCAGCAGTCATGTGACAACAATGAAGTGAACTGGGCTGAACTTGAGGCTGTGTTTACACAAAGCAAAGTATGGAAATACATTTAAAAATGTAAGTAGTAAAATATCTATAGTATGTAGAGCTACCATCTTCTTGCAGTATGGGTAGCACTTGGAAAAATGTTGTACATGTTGATTCCAGATGAATTTTAGCAATACAACTTTTGCATTTTCCTTTTTTCTTCAGATTTATGGCATTATAAATATGTAATATTGCACAGAATATGTTTTTAAGTTCTCTCGAGAAACCGCTTGGAGTTCAAAGCAGCAACTCTCAACAATCGATAAACTGAAACTGGGGATTTTTCTTTGTATTTTAGCTTAAAAAAATGACTGAAAACCATCATCAGATTATCAAAACAACCAACAGTCAATCAACCAACCACTTAATCAAAGTAATCATTCCAGCTCTACACAGTATTTTTCACTATTTGTGTGAGGAACATAAAGCAGACATGTAAGCGTGCTATCTTGGTTACACTCATTAAATAACCACAAATAGGATAATTGGATGAAGGCAGTCGTGGAGGGGATGATATGATTTCAGTAGGCAGTGTCATACATTAGCCCTAATCAGGTTACCATCATTAGCATGAGTGTAAACATTTGTGGAATTAAGCTGATGTAAGTTATGCGACACTGGACGCCTTGAAGGGAAAACCCATGAATTATTGCTCCTCCAGCAACCGCTTTGATTTTTCTGGATGCAATAAAAGGCATTTGACTTAAAATGGTTATTACTAATACTGCAACCTTCATACACTAAAGCAATTTAAAGAAATTAGTGAGAGTCAGCAAGAAAAAATCTGGTTCAAGCATTTTAAGGAAATTTGGTGATAAATATTAAACAGCCAAAGATCCGTCAGCATCAGTAGAAGGCAATGTGTCTTATTTCTCACATATTGTTGTCAGCTTACACAAAAACGTTTCTAGTTCAATTAAAATATGTTTTGGGTTTTTTTAAAATGCAAGTTTTGGTAAACTCAACCAATGAAGGAGCAAAGGTGCAATCCTTTGACCTAAAAGATACGATTCTTTTCAGCCCTCTGCTTCCAACTGGTCACAGATATATTAGTGTGATTTAAAAAGTGTAACTTTTAATAAACATTCCCCAAACAGGAGGACATGCGGCATTTGTTAGGGACTATTTTCAGCTGCGAATGGTACTTTGGTGATTATTTGGGGCAGCTGGTGCAACAGTGTTGACTCATTTCTTGTTGTTTTTTTTTTCAATAGTTTTGGGATGACAATGGAGCTGCATGGCATGGAAGGATAAGATATCCAGGCTTGGATACACAAACAGTACTTGTTACTGGGATACACTGATGTCAGTTGCAACAAATATTCAAGTGAAAAGTCATGATACAGTAACACAGCTCGCACAAAACAGCACCATAGTGACTGTAGCTGTGGCCACCACTTGTTGTACCAAGGCTGTGGGTGAAGTTCCTCGCTCAAGGATATCTCAGAAGAAGTTACCTTGAAAGAATGTTTCATATTTACTTGCCCAGCGTAAGATTTTCCAGTAACACTGTGAACCAAAAACCATCCGTTGTTAAGTTTATCCTTTGGACCTTCTCTGCTCCCCCAATTAAAAAATCCACCAACACCATCGCGTCCAAAGAGTTTCAAAAGGCAGCACTTACAATACTGTTTGTTTTGCGGTGCAA